GCCTCCAAAGTGGCCCAGAAGTGTTCCAAGAGCTCTTCCAGGTAAGCTTCTGAGGGCACAGTGTCCGTTTCGCCCGCCAGGCCTTCCACTAGACCTCGTCGAGATCTCTGCTAAGTTCACACCGGTGGGTCTGGGGGCACCACTTCAGGGTGCAGATATGGGTGATTCCCAGATTAGGGCATTAGTGCAGGCTGAAATTACAGGAATCCGCTTATATATGAGATCTAGCTCGGAGCCCTCACATTGCACATCCAGCCTCCATGATGTTCAGGCCCCACCCCCCTATTCGTTTTCTTTATTCCGCCACCCCACTGTTTGGCTAAAAGTGCTGGCAGGCACTCTGAGCTGGCAAAATGGCTCAGTTGGCACAGACTTCTCTCTGAGATCCCATGAATTGCGCAGACATTATAAAGAGGCCTGCAAAGCAGCAAGAATCCAGATAAGTTACTATTTTATTGCATACTTTTTTTTGAGTTAAGGGGGACCTTTAAGGCGAAAAATGAGAATGAGGTAAGTTAGAATTGAGTTTAATTACATACATGTTACAACAGATAACTTTATGTAGTGCAGAGAAATATCAAACCCTTGGATCTTGTGGTAGATGTGTGCAATAGAAAGTGTGTTTATTTAAAATTCATTCATTTCCACTGCTTTCATGCTAGGCTACTGTGTGCTGTACAGGGACACGAAAGACACGTCAGCTTTATACCAAACTGCAAATAATTACTGAGGAGTGTAAGGGTAGTAGTATTTGGCTATAAAACAGCTAGTCAGCATTGGAAAATATGGTAAAGGTTTTAGACGCGCACGTGTTAATTTCAGAGGTATTTGCAGTGCTACTCAGCATGGCCCAAAGTTTCTTCTGTTTCTATGAAAATAGCATTTTTGAAGACGATGTGGGAGTTCATGGTGTAGGATGGTGATTTCACCGCAATATTTTGTAAGAAAATAAAAACCGTCTATACTGTGACGAGTTAGTTCCAACAAAACTGAAGGGGCTTATTCACTAAGCATTGACCTGTAGTGAATTGAGAATCAACTTTTATCAAATTGCATGCTGAAACGTCAGAATAGAAAACAAATTCTTAATCTCAGCCAATTCTATTTTTTCCCCCTTTCTTAACTTGGCTCTAATGAAGGAAATATTTTTTTAAAATGGTAGGCAGTTCCCTTGCCTGCTACCTACAATTCCATCGTTAGTGAATAAACATCACTATGTGAAGCTTACTTCCCCTTTATCTGTGATCTGTTTTTTATCATCTCTGAAAATCTTTATCTAGAATGTGTTTGGAGTCATGTCTGTCATGTGTTTAGAATAATCCGTTTTCTTGATTGTCCTATACAATTTGGGAGAAAAATATGACTTAAAGAAATACTCCGGGCATGAGCAGTTTTAATCCCAAAGGTAAGGAAGTGCCAGGGGACTCCTGGCACCATAACAACTTAATTTTAAGTTGTGATGGTGCCTGTTGTATTTTTTTAATGTTACCAAATATGCAGTAGAGTTTGTTGCTATAGCCTATATACGGGGGAGTACAGGACTCAAAGACAACAGAGACGCCCTTGCAGACCGGGTCGGAGGGATCGGTCACTTCCCCCGCCGAGAAGATTTTAACGCCGAATTCAGCAGGAGGACGCAGTTGCAACACAGCAAGAGTTGATGGACCCAATGTCAATGTAGGTGCTGCCCAGGGGTGCCAAACATCACTACCAGTCACCGGGTATCGATGGGTGGGGGAGATAATTCCCCAATAATTAATTTGCAAGTTTACTCCAAGAATTTGAGCTTGTTGCGTCTTCTCAGTATGGTGATGGAGCCTTGCCCCTCGGTGCTATAGCCTTTTAAAGACCATCTGGAGCACCTAGGTGATAGCCCATTAGAAAATGTCATTAAAAATAGAAAACAAAGAAACACTTAGACCAAATGCTGTCATATAATAGCACTGGTGTTAGAAATTATTCGAAGCACTGACTTTGCCATGGGTCTGTTGCTTATCAGACTGTTTAATAAGTAATGGTATGCAAATAAAGCATGTGATACAAAACTGTTACCAACAGAAGCACTCACTCCAAGAGAGATACAGATATATTAACAAGACCAAACAGAATGAAACATAGGCCTATCTGTAAGACCAGGGACAAATCAGGTTAAGACAAAAAAGGAGGTATAATGAGACACAGCTTGGCTCATTAATTGTTCTCGTTTTTTGGTTTTTTTTGTATCTGAAATATTTTTATACAGCTAAAAGAGCTGATGTAAAAGTTGGCAAAGATTTGGAATTAAACCATAAAAAACAGATAAACATTTGGACTAGCCCTCCTTGCTCCTCTAAATATAGCAAAATCTTACCTTTATCCCAGTCTGCTGCTGCTGTCTCAGCCCCCGATCTGCCTTCTTGGCTGACATCATCAGAAGGAAAGCAGTGAATTAGCTGAGCTTGTCAAGGAGGCAGATCAGGAGCAGAGCCAGCACAAGCCAATCAGCATCTCCTCATTGAGATGCAATGAATCAATGCATCTCTATGAGAAAAATTCAGTGCCACCATGCAGAAGGAGAAGACACTGAATGGCAGTGCTACATATTGTGCAGCACTGCCCCATGAATCACCTCTAGTAGCTATCTGAGGAGTTGCCACTGGAGGTATCCCTAGGCTGTAATACTAAAACAGACTTTCCTCTTTTTACTGAAAAAAAAGCCTGAAAATACTGATTATACTCATTAGAACAAATACAATAAGCTGTAGTTGTTATGCTGGCTAGTGTTACTTTAAACTACCTTTACCTGACATTTCCAACCAATCTTTAAAGGGTACTGTAGGCAACAGAACGACTGCATCCTAATGTCCCATTGTACAGCGCTACAGAATGTTATGGCGCTATATAAATAATAAAATAATAATAATAATAAATGTAGTGATTCTGGGCCATAGAACCTGCCCTTGCAAGCCCAGCAGTGTAAATGCTACCTTTTTATGAGAAAGGGCAGTCTTTACATTGCTGCCTAAGGCCACCTCTAAAAGCTGTCACTTAGACAGGCATTAGAGGAATTTCCTGGGATTGGCCCTGCAAGAATTTCAGGACCATTTAGCATGAGGAGATGCCAATTGGTGTGTTGGACTGGCTGAGATCACCAGGACTGATGACCCTAATGACCGGTGTGCCAGGGGAGATATAGTAAGTTAAACTCTTGTTTTTAATATCATTTGGGGGGGGTCACTTTGGAACATGATCAGAAGTGGTAAGAACTGTCAACATTCTAAAATGTAAAGATTTTGGAGATTCAGCGCAGAAGACATTTAGGATATATTGTGCCAAATATATGCAGCTTATATTTTTACTGGCTGTAAGGCTTTGAAAAGAAAGGCACTGTATGTATTTTTGCATATCATAAAACTCAACTTTTTGGGGTGGAGCCTGACCTGCATGCTGAACGGCTGTGTTCTGAGAGAGCTCCTGGACAAATCTCTGATATATGGGTTAAATTTGCTTCTTATCTCTCACTAAACGAGCAACACTAAGTCCTACCACAACTCTCATCAGGCTGATCCACCACAACGAAGCCGCAGGCGGAATTCCTGACTGTTTTAGCGGAATATGAAGTGTGGCTTGGGAGGCCTAACGGGCAGGAGAGGTGGCCTATCTCCGGGCCTGAGGCGCTTTCTAGCCCGCGCTCAACTCATTTTCCATGTATGTGCTGACACTTGATCACTGTAACTGATAAGAAGCTATGTCATGACTGTCAAAAAGTTGTACTTTACATGTACAACAAAAATAAAGATTTTTTTTTTTAAATAACTAAACCCTGCTTTTTAAAAAAAAAATTTTAAAACTATTTTGTTTTCAATTTACTATAGTGTACTCTTTAGTGAATTTGCCCTGTGAAAATAAAGTCACAGTAGGATTTATTCACTAGCACCAAGCTAAGCAAGCCCATTATAGATAGCCTGTGAGACTTTGCCTAAATTATTGTCAAATAATGGAAACGTAACCTAAGAAAAACACATTCATTAAAATTCAAATACGAGTTCCAAAATTTTGAAACTTGTCTTCTAAACAATATGAGAGAAACAAAGGTCCTGAGTAGATATTAACCATTTCTTCAACAACCTTTGCTAAATCAGCTGGCTATATTTCTTGTTTTTTGACTTGGTTTCATTTCCATGGGGAATTTCAAAGACCGTGTGTGTCTTACCACTGTAAAGACACCAGATTTGCATTCTATACTACTACCCACAAGTACCTCAATATCTCCACGTAGACCATTGCTAGAGAAGTTTCAGGGTCTAATTACTTACACGCCACAGACTTACTAGACTCATGTTACTTTGGCAACAACCCAGCAACTACCCTTTACTACCAACATGGTAAACCATTTATAAAATAGGACAATTTGAGCTTTTTAATTTGGGGCGTTTTCATCAGGGAGCAGTATTTTATTTTATTAGCATGACATAAGTATGTCATACTATACAAAGTAGCCCCTACACTTATATTTTTATTTTATTTTATTAGCATACATATTGAACTTGTATGTCATACTATACAAAGTAGCCCCTACACTTATATTCTGCTGCATCTCCAGAATACCAAAATACTACATAGATTTGTAGTGGTTGTGTTGCTCCGAGTGCTTCTTAAAAGAAGGTGCAGGGCTGTAACATGCACGCGCACATATCGTTAAAAAAAATCCTAAAGTAAATTTTAGTTAGGGGGAGCCAATGCTACCATTCTATTTACTAACATCCAACTCAAGGAAACCTAGAAGTACGGAAGCCAAGATCAGTGCAGAATGAAGTGTTGCTCATGATGCCAAACCCAGTTCACATACCTCTGAAAGACTGCGTAGGGACAAGTGGATTTTGAGTAAGACCTCATCAACTGCTTTCACAGGTGTCTGCTACCTTGTAGCTGTGGGTGCATTACATGAGACCCACTAAAAATTACAATTACTTAGATTTAACATATTCCGCAGCACTGTACAACAGCAGACAAGACAAATATTTAAAGTGGCGCTGTCACCTTAAACTTACCTTTCTCCTATTATTTTCTCCCTACTTTGTCTTACATTTTAAAGATAAATATATCAGAAAAAAAGATCAGATTCAGAAAGAGGAAGAGAAGGGGAAACAATCGGAGAAAGGTAAGTATGAGGTGACAGAGCCACGTTAATCTAACAAAAAATGCATGACATACGGGAACAGTAGGACGAAGAGGGCCCTGCCCCAATGAGCTTACAATCTAATACTGTAACCACAACCTTCATCTCTTTGTGGCTAAAGGGCCTCTACTGCAAAACTTATTTATATGTATATATACATAGAAAAATACATATAGCTTTATGTATAGTGCTAGAATTACACCCAATTATAAATATGAGTATTAGCGAAAGCTCTGTTCTATATAAATAAACATATAAATGTTGCCTGCTGCAGCTAGAATAAGAAGCATGCCGTCAAAAGCATCATGTGCCTTCTGAGTTCATATGACACTCAGTAGACCATATCACTTCCAGAAACCAGTCAGGATGCCTGTATCTAGCTTGTGTATGTCTGGTTGCTAGGTGACAGCCTTAGACTGTGGTCAGGAGGAAGGATGTGATTGTGTGCAGGAGAAATCAGACTATCACTATCCCCACAACAGAATGTCAGTTCCCTCCTCCTTCCTCTCCCCAACATCACACACTCCACCCATCTGCATAACACTCAGAATGTAACACCAGCCTGGTGCAAAGAAGTTAACAGCTAACTCCTTGTACAGACTAAAGGATGAAAAATATGCTACGCATATATTACACTGAAACTCGAAAGCAATTATCAAATCATATTTAATCATATCAAACTGCAATAAAACCAAAAAAGGCCAAACAAATTATGTGAAACATCGAATTATTCTTTGCATAGTTAAAGTGCATGTGGCATTTAAACAAACAGTTCACATAGCAGGAATGAAGCTCAGATGTTGCATAGGTATGCATTTGACACAAAATCAGATTAATACATTTGTATGCATCGTCTCTATCTCCTGCTAAGGCCAAATGGGGTGAAGCATGCATGCTCAGGGTGTGCCCTTGTTTGTTTTTTGTTCTTTTACCAGCAAGACGTGGTCCCTAAAGTGACAATTTACACATAATAGGCTTATTCACTAAAGTGAGCATTGTCGGGAATTCAAAGTGGCGGTCAGCTGGTAATAAAGAGCGGCATTTTTGAAAAAAAAGTGGGTAAGTAAGAGCCACTGCTAACTGCTGTTATTTCCCGAGGTTGGAAACGAGCGCTCAGCCTGCTAAATAAAGTGTTGCAGTACTTGCAAGACACAAACCTACTTGCAGAATATATTTATGATTTACAAAGAAAATGTCACCTATCTATGGAGTGTCTGCTGCATCCTCATCATGAATAGGCTAGAAGCAAGACAGACCATATTTAGCGCCAGACAAACTATATTAGGAGAAAGGAAAGACTGTGTCCCTAGAAAATACAATTTTACTGTGCTAACGGTGACATTGGCCTTGGTCACATGAATCCTCTGAAATCTCTACCTCTGATAATATCTATGCAAACAGCACCTCGGCATGGCATCAGTCTGTAGATTAGCATCAGTTACAATGGTGCTATGTTATGAGTATATGCAGCTCACCCTTGGTGTTACAGCTATTTGCAGCAGAGCCTGTCCTCCCCCTTTGCTCCAAAACAGTGCTGGGCAGAGGGCTGGTCTGCTCAAAAGCTGGCAGAATTAGATTAGAGGTGACTCACAGCTCAGTAATGTGGCATTTAGTGAGTCACACTCAGGGTGGGGAGACTGACACCCTCTTCCCCCACCATTCCATCACACAAAGAGACACGTCCAAAACGACAAATATAAAAACAGTCAAACACAACTATCTACAAAAAAAATGAAACAATAGAAACAGGCAGTTATAAACAGAAAGGAATAACGTTGGCACATAAAAAGACTGACAATAAACACGTTTTGCACTGAGTTACTTAAATGGATTTGATTGATTTTGAAATTAGGAAATCAATCTGAAGTGTTCCGTAAACTAAATTTTCTCTGCAATTCACGTGCATTTAAAATGTGGGGAATATCTCATCCATCCAAGATGTGTCTGTTCCCAGGAAGAGCAAACGATCAGGGTTTATTCACTAAACTGTGAGTAGAACAAACTTGTAACCAAAATGGTCAACAGAAATGCTTTTTCCAGCTATACTAGACTTAAATGATCACTCCAACCCATAACCAGTCCAGTGATTTGAAGTGGTCATGGTGCCTGGAGTCTGGACGTGCAGAATTACACTGTAAAGTGCTGAACATACAGAGTTTAACCTCTCTGCTGCCGGAGGTCCAATTCCACCTCTGGCAGCATCATTGAGGCGTAATAAGGCAGCTCACCTCAGGGCTGGCTACTGCTATTTCTGTGCATATTCCCAAACACAGAGTTGCATTTATTGGCTGAGATCTGTCTGGTGACACTCGTAGCCAATGAGTAGATGGTGTGATCAACGTCTGGCTTCTGCAGCTCTGTACAAGCCAGATGTCGTCTCCGACTAGAGAGACCAATGGGACAATATTACCACTTCAGTTAGTGTTTGCCATGCCTAGAGTATTTGTTTAAGTCAAAAATACCAATTGGTACTTTTGACTTAAACAAATACTCTAGGCATGGCAAACACTAACTGAAGTGGTAATATTGTCCCATTGCACCATCCCTCTATTCAGCTCAACTGTTTTTACATAGGTAGGGGAACCCAATACACATTTATTCCTAACGTTATAGTGCTCCTTTAATGACTACATTTTGGCCATGCGTACCTTACCAGTTGCATGTTTGCAGACTAGGCTCCAAATGAGAAAGAGAGTATCAGATTAAGCATCACACAAAAAAGGAACACACCGGAATAAAGGCTGAAATTGTTCTCCATTGAAAGTATAAAATATATTCAGACATCTTTACAAAACACTACAAAAGCAGAAGCAAAATGAAGATAAGGGAATCAAGGTTAGTATTCAAAGTAACACCTTTTTCATGTCTCCTCTAATGTCTCCAAACAGACCCTGCAGATTAGAGCCAGTCTATCTGTTGACAGCCAATGTAACAGATAAGATTTGAATGTCTGGGTTGTTTTCAGACAAGGCAAAGTTAACTAGATGCAAACACAAGTCTTTTGTAAAGAAACCAAAATTAAATAAATAACTACAATATACAAATAAACTCTGTTTGTATATTTTATTTTTATAGCAATAACAGTTGTACTTAACACAGTACAGGTCACTTTGCACTAGAGGGAGGTAAAGTAAGTGCAGTAAATATACAGTGTATGTATATTTTATTTATATGGCACTACCTGTAATGTACCTAGCACTTTACAGATTACATTACAGTAGATCATGGTACTGTAGGTATACAATGTATGTATATTTTATTTATTTATATAGCGCTATCAGGTGTACTTAGCACATTTACATTACAGTAGATCATGGTACTGTAGGTATACAATGTATGTATATTTTATTTATTTATATAGCACTATCAGGTGTACTTAGCACTTTTACGTTACAGTAGATCAGGGCTTCCCAAACTTTTATGGGCCGAGACCCAATTTTCAAAACGGTAATTTTTCGAGACCCACTTGCTTTTAATGCATATTTTAAAAAGTGAACACCATGGCAATCAGCTTTAGAGGCATACAATTGGCACACCATAGCAATCCACTTTAGATGCACACAATTGGCACACCATGACAATTACTTTTAGAGGCATAAAACTGGCACACCATGGCAAACCGCTTTAGAGGCATACAATTGGCACACTATCCGCTTTAGATGCATACAATTGGCACACCGTGGCAATCAGCTTTACAGGCATACAATTGGCACACCATAGCAATCAGCTTTACAGGCATACAATTGGAACATTATGTCAGCTTTAGATGCATAAAATTGGCACACTATAGCAATCCGCTTTAGATGCATAAAATTGGCATACCATGGCAATCCGCTTTAGATGCATACAATTGGCACACTATAGCAATCAGCTTTAGATGCATAAAATTGGCACACCATGGCAATCCGCTTTAGATGCATACAATTGGCACACTATAGCAATCCGCTTTAGATGCATACAATTGGCATACCATGGCAATCAGCTTTACAGGCATACAATTGGAACATTATGTCAGCTTTAGATGCATAAAATTGGCACACTATAGCAATCCGCTTTAGATGCATAAAATTGGCATACCATGGCAATCCGCTTTAGATGCATACAATTGGCACACTATAGCAATCCGCTTTAGATGCATACAATTGGCATACCATGGCAATCAGCTTTACAGGCATACAATTGGAACATTATGTCAGCTTTAGATGCATAAAATTGGCACACCATGGCAATCCGCTTTAGATGCATACAATTGGCATACCATGGCAATCAGCTTTAGATGCATAAAATTGGCATAACATGGCAGTTTTAGAGGCATAATTCTGGGATATGATGGCAGTTTTAGAGGCAGAAACTTTGCACATCATGGCAATCAGTTTTAGAGACATACAACTGCTTACTCACAGACTCAGAAGTGCTGTGTCCTGCTCTTTCATCCAGGCACCTCACATTGATTATCCCAATGGTGGAACTAATGTAGAGAGTGCTCTGGTGCAAATATGTTTTCTGGGCCCCCCTCTAGGGCAAGTGTGGCCAAAAGGTAGATCCCTGTCGGAGAACTTCAACAATGCTATACCAGATGGGGGTCTACCATTTTCTTATCATTGCAGGGTTATATTTGAGAGCAGTGTTTGAGCGTTTGAATGTAAGCATGTTTTTGTATTAAGTATATGTGTGCATGTATGGGTGTATTTGTATGTACTGTTGCCATTGGAATGTAGTGGTGTACTTGTTTGTAATGTTTGCGTCTGAATGCATGGGTGTTTGTATGTAGTGTCAGACTTGAAATGCAGGTGTGCTTTTTGAGTGTTGGTGTTTGAATTAAGGGGTGTTTGTAGATAATGTTAGTGTTTTAATGCCGGGGTGTGTTTGTATGTAATGTTTGCGTTTGCAGTACATGTGTAGTGGATGCAGTGTGTGTGTGTGTGTAGTGGATGCAGTGTGTGTATTGTGTTTATAAAATATACATATACACAATGTGTGTTTGAATGTAAGCATGTTTTTTTGTATGGAGT